GGATCAAGAATATTATCTTACTTTTACAAAAAGACGTAATGAAAATGAGAAAAATCAATTTTAAGACCGAAAATGATCAATAACATATACGAAGCTTTTTCAATGTTGAATTTTTTTCTGATTGATGCACCTGACATTGAAGACTCAAATTGTGTTGCTAGATAGAGTTAAGTATCAGGCAATTTTTGACAAAGTTTGGCAATGGTACTGTATTTCTTTGACCTGCTATAGAAGTTTTAGTGGAACGTATGAAAAATGAAAATTTGAAATTTTGCTCGAAAAATATTTTTTTCTCAAACAACAGCCGTATTCTTTTAATTCTTTTATCGCCAGTTTATAGCGCATTTTCCACTCTTCAAAATCCAGTATAAACAATATCTTCACTGTACCTCCATTGTACTGACTCCAAAGCAAATTACAATATTTCCTCATAAAACAATTGCTGAACGTTACCGTTCCTCATAACTATTTAACACGTCAAACTACGTCTGATTATGTAAATCAAACGGCTGCTAAGTGCAGAAGGATGTTAAGTTCTATTCCTACAGTGTTCGGCATCTCACCGCTAATATCTCCGTCTTCATCTTTACAAAGTATGTGTCAGGTCGGTTCTTGAATATGCTTATATTCTTTATGACAGTCCATTTAAATTACATCTGTCTATTCTGGATGGCGTGCAGCGTTTGGGTGCCAGAGTTATAATGAAAGACTACTCGATCGACCCGATAGCACTTCATTCCAAATTAAAACTTTGTTGCTTCGGAAATTGAAGGCTCCATTTCAAACTCATTTATTTTCGTAAAATTTTCTATGGCGCAAGTCGCCTTTCACATCTTAATCTCACTGCACCTTCTCATAATCGGAAATCTACGTGTTTTAGGCATGACAGACAGGTTATTATTGCATATTTTTTCACAAAAGCTTCATCTTCTTCTTTCTTACCCCTCGCCTCTAAGCAGTGGAATGGTCTTCCTCTTTCAATAGCACACACGGCCAATTTAATGCATGCTTCTCAAGAATAATGACAATTATTTTTAGTATGTTCTTGCTCTTCCTGCTATTCTTGTGGCACATAAGGACTATTGTTGTTCGTTCTCGTTTTCTCCCACTTTATTGTGATTCATTTTTTTTCTCTCACTATCAGCAACAGTGCCTTTCATGTAAGCGAACTTTTCCTTTTTGCTGGTTTACTGTTTTCCGACTATCTAATATCGTTAGTCAAAATACATTCAATTCAATTCAACCTATCCTTGCACTTTAAGCATGGATGGCGTATAAAAACATAATATGCGCAGTGATAGTGATTTGTGGCCACTTATAGTAATGCTGATGATAAACGAACTACCGTCTCCTCAAAAGAGATATCTAGAGAATATTCTTGTGATTGATATCATTCAAGCAAAAACCAGTCCATCAAATAATGTTATACAAATTTGTTTATGATTCACTGTTGACTAGTTAATATCCTTAGAAGATGGATAACATCTTTACGTTAACCCTTTCAGGACGGGGAAGTTTTTTTTGAAAAAAGGTACAAAAATTAGTTTTTAAGAATCAATTGATTCTAGTTTTCAGTCCAGTTTATTAATATGACTTTAGAGTGTGATAGTCGCGAAAACAATTTGGGATGCACAACCGTACATTGCAGTCTGAACATTCATATCGGGTACGAGATTGTTTTTTTGGTTCAACCGCTGAATATATAAAAGTGTGAAAAGGAAACAATTTACTAGAAGATACCATACGAAGAGGAAAGGGTAAAAACTGAAAAATATGTATGTTCAATAGAAAAAGGCAAAAAAACATATGCTTCGACACGTCACAACAGAACGAAAGACTGTGGTATATACGGTGTACCACCCGCCCTGAAAGGGTTAAAGATCTTCTTGAGAATGAGTTTTGACTACTTCTGACAACAAACACTGCTATGAGAGTCAGCACGGCCGATATGTCGATCTAATGTGCATGTGTTCAATGACACACTATATGAATACCACGTAAAATATGGCTTCTCTTTCTCCTTCTTTTTTCACTGTTGTTGGAGCTCTGACAATCGTACGAGACAGCAGTGTACAAAGAAAAAGCATTCTAGACATCGCGCAAATTCAAAGGAAAAGAAACTAAAATGAAATTTCTTTTTGTTTCCAGAAAGAAAGAATTCTATTGACATTACTCACATGAAATACTTCACTTACCATAGCCATTCGAAGTTTGCAGAGTGAATGACAAACACGTCTGTCAACAAGCGAGAGTCCTTATATTATTGATAATGTAAAGCGTGTCCTGTAACCGAGTAAGTTTCTTCAACTATCATTCATGTGTACAGAAACCGCAATCGAAATCAACCATACCTGACAGTCTCTTAGTGATTGCGAATATACCAGCAACCATAACCACACTCTGCTTACCTCACACTGACATTCTGCTGTTTAGAGAATCGAACACGATGGCTGCGAACACTAGTAGTGAGTCAAGGAGACAAACATCCCACAATCTCGAATCATTCTCACTCATGTGGCTTGATGCAAATGTCAATACAACAAACGATAATATGAAAACACAAGCAAAGCTGCGTGAATCAATCAACTATCTCAACACATTTAACAGTGTCGATGGCTGTGTCGAGTATACAAGAAACATCAAGGATGAGAAAGTGGTTATGATTGTGTCTGGAAGGCTAGGAAGAGAAGTTGTTCCCATCATCCATGATGTTCCACTGTTGGTGTGCATTTATGTGTTCTGTGGAAACAAGTCACACTACGAGACATGGGCACGAAAGTACAAAAAGGTAAGATGAGTATAATGTAAGTCTGATAATGGTAGAGCCAAACAGAAAATAAAAAAAGGATGAGAAGATAGATAATGAGTCGACACCAATCGCCTTCTTCACTCGTTCTCAGCAATCATCGACATCACTGAATGGCGCCTTCATGTGGTTTCAGTTATTCATCGACACTCTTCTACGAATCGAACATTCTGCAAAAGCGAAAAATGAACTACTCCACATGTGCAAGACAATGTGTAATGGAAATGCTCAAGAATCAGCTCTTCTCGATGAGTTCGAGAAAACATACAAGCCCCACAAAGCAGTGTGGTGATACACGAGAGAGACGTGCATCTACCGAGTGCTCAACAAAGCTCTCAGATGTCAAGATCTCGATGTTCTTTTCTCTCTTCGCTTTCTCATCAAAGACATCTACGAACAACTGGAAAGTGAACAACAGCACTTCTTCGATTCTCTCAACAGAAACAAGCCACATGTGTATGTGTATCGAGGTTAAGTGATGTCCACTGAAGAGCTGACTTGAATGAGAGAGAGTGTGGATGAGTGTCTGTCAATGAACTCGTTCCTGTCGACATCTCGAAGCAAGTCAGTGGCACTAACCTTTGCCAAAGGAGTTCCAGGAACCGATGATCTTCATCGAGTGCTGTTTCAAATCAAAGTCGATACTCGTGTGGAGACGAAGCCCTACTGTGACATCTCTCACTTGAGTTATTTCAAAGATGCAGAGCAAGAAGTGTTGATTATGCTCGGCGCGATCTTTCGCATTGATGAAGTGAGATTTGATGATGAGAAAGAAATGTGGATGATCAAGCTGACAATGTGTAGTGAGCATGAGAATGAGCTGAGCGATGAGTTTGATTATTATCAACAACAAATGAGAAAACACATTGGTCTCGCGTCACTGGGGAACTTGATGGAGAGAATGGGTGAATATGATAAAGCTAGAGTATTTTACAACAGAGATTTGGAAGAAGATCCAAACAGCAGTGTCAGCTATACTGGACTTGGAAGTGGAGCTCGCGAGAGAGGAGAGATCGATATGGCACTTGAATATTATTCGAAAGCACATGAAATGAATCTCAAAACACTCTCTGCTCACCATCCGAATATTGGCACCAACTACGTGAACCTCGGTACTGCTTATTACGATAAAGGTTTGTACGATAAAGCACTTAAATATGATGAGAAGGCACTCAACATTTACAGCAAAGCTTACGGAGAAGAACATGCTAATGTTGCCAGTGTTTATCAGAATATGGGTGTTGCATACGACGAGAAGCACAGGTATGAGATGGCTTTGCAGTATTATAAGAAATGTCTTTGTATTCGAGAAAAGGTGTTACCCAAACATCATCCTGACATAGCATTAACTCACAACAGTATGGGTAACACATATACTAATCTCAACGATCATCAGTCAGCATTGACGTCACAAGAAAAAGCGCATGCTATATATCTGAAATCTCTTCCGCCAAACCATGCGGATTTGGGTATGAGCTACTACAACCTTGGTCATTCATACATGGATACGAACAAGTATAATAAGGCATTAGAGCACTTCAAGTTGGCTCTCTTCGTTCAGAGACCGTTCTTTTACTCGATAATCTGTCAAAGTGCTGTTACATAATCAATGTTATTCATTCGTAGACCAAATTCGCGCCAACCGGACATGTGATTGTGGAAGAATTCATCAAAAAAGTGCTCTCTCAAACACACATCCAGATGTGGGAGACACTTATTTTAATATCGGTCTTGTGTATAAAGTACTGGAAGAGTATCGGGTGGTATTACACAGAAGCATTGAAGGTGTACAGTTCATATTTACCCAAAACTAATCAAACGATTCTTGATGTTGAAGAAAACATTCGTGATGTGAGAGATCGACTGTGAATGAGTGATGTTAATTATTTATGAGGAAAAAGATCAGTTGAAGATTGAGTTCATAGTGGAGCCCGTCAGGACGGAAGCGACAGACATGCATGTTGATCTCGAAACGGTGCTGGAATGCCTGACTTGTCCACTCAGAGGCTAGCAATAAACGATGTGATACGTCTCCCTTAGAGGTAGAAAAAGGAATGTGGTGCTGGATCCAGGGGCGTCTGTGCTCACTTTAAGGTCTGAGACATAACGCCCCATTTGTCGCGTTATACCACCCACTTATAGAAGTTGCATTATTTTGGATAGTATGAAACGTTTTTCCTATCTGCCATCTCTGTTGTAGTGTAATTGTGCAATGCTTGCTTTTGGGCAGCAATCTTAACAGGAAGAATGCTATCTACCTAAACGCAAATGCACCTTGGTCAGACATTTTTCAATATGTATGTTTAATGTATATAACAACAACATAAAGTAGACTTATCTAGAGGGAAAATCAAAAAATAGTAAGTCGCCAATTGAGTGTCCACAGTTGTTCATCTCGTATTTATTCCCGAAAAAAACTACGATAAATAAATGCAGTCCCAGACACGAATGCAGACCCGCTAAAGCGCACGGGTAACCGCTTATAGGCCCGGTTCTCGCCGGTTGAGCACCGGTAAATTGTCGGTTTTAACCGACTGTTGATAAAAAACCCGCGATTCTGTGAGGTTCATCATTTTCAGCTCCAGTAGCGATTTATGCGTGACCGCGACATGACTTCGCGAGAATTAGAAAGCCATGGCGCGATTTTACGAGAAAAGCAGGATCGTGGTACGACATCGCGACTTCGTTAGGACGATAACACAAGAATAGCGAATAAATCGCGATCGCGGCATGACAGTCACGAATTCAGCGCTTCATTCTTCGACTACGACAAAACTGCGATCATAAAACAAGATTCTTATAACCGTGATCGCGTTACGCGTACTTGCCGCGACTTTTTATAGCGAGTCGCGGCGCGACAAAAGCAAGACCGTTGATCTCGGATGGTTGCATATAACAACATAAATCGGCTCTCGACAACATTTTTCGGTTAGAGGATATAAAAAGTTCAATTATAGAGTATGCTGATTTTCTCTGTATCACTTCAGTCCTAGTTGACTCCTTATTGAGTAACCATTTATATTTATTAAAAGTTAACACAAATGGTATATATCTCAAACCAAGGAAACATCAGTTATGGGAAAAATCTAGATACATTCCGTCTGTAATCGAGCGATACAGGACTAGTTGTCATCTAGATTACTAGTTGAAAAAGGGACTTTTCATTAGATGCGTCTGCATGTACAGCTAACAGTAATCGATTATCGGACGATGAAAAGATAGTTGCAACTAAGAGAAGTCTAGTATTCGAGCGATTGCCGAATTTCCATTGTCGTTGCCAAATAATTGTAATCGAGTAAAAATCTAGTAATCTAGAGAAAACGGGCCATACTAGATACTTTTCTATCCTCGGGAAATTGCTTATGAGATCAGGAATAACTAACAATGAAAGGTCGTGTATTGTAAGTGAAATTGATCGACCATATTCGGGTCAAATGAACACTCTCTCTGAGAAACTAACAAATTTAAAATATGAACTGCCCTTGGCTTGCCTGGACAGAGATATTCAATTTTTAAGTTATGCATTATTAGGCTATAGAAACATGATAATATATGAATTAATCACATGAAATTTTTAGTGTAACCATCAGATTTTTCAGACAGCGAGCTTCCGAAATTTTGATGAACTTATTAACAATATTCAGACTTCTTCAGATACGACTTCTTCTGAAGTTTAACAGTACAGAATTAACAAAGAATAGTAACTAGTGCGTTGAAACGTGTCTGTGCGTAAGATATCAACAAATTAAATGCATTAACGCATCACTTCATAATTTATAATATATTCCTTTTTGATTGGTACTCGTAAGTCCCAATGAAATACATATTCACAGTAACATTCTCGCTTATTTTTCACCACCATAAGCAGTAAGAAAGATTGATCTCATCGAATCAAGGAATGAATCTAGTAAACATCGCGAAACATCTTCTCTATTTAACACAATCAGAATTTGGTTTTGAATATTCAACACCAAGCGATGATGAAATTTTTGCATCACAACAACTATTCAAAATTTTAAAATCATTTAAAGATAGTTATTTTAATGAATTGTATACTTATGAAAGTCGCGATTTCAACGATGAATATGATAAAACGACAGATGAAGAGGATACCACCGATGAAGAAGAATCATCTGATGAAGAAGAGAATATTACCGATTATGACGACAATCAGTATTCGAACATTCGGAATCATTTTACGTTAGAAGAAATGGAAAAAATAGTGGAATGGGTTGACCAACATCCAAATTGTAAACTTGCAACTATTGCACATAGGTTTAGGAAAGTCAAGTCTATGAATTATATCCCAAGATTCAGAGAATATATTAACAAGAACGGTACAAGATTAGAAAAACTCAAAAATATCAAAGAATTTATGTGGAACGAATTTTATATTAAAAGAACAATTGAAAAAGAAGCAATTTATGATAGTGATCTGAAACTTTTTACAATTCAAAAAGCAAGGGAACTGAATTGGGAAAATTTCGAAGCAGGTGAAACATTTATCAAGATGTTCAAGAGCGAAAATCGAATTTCATCAAGAAGATACAACAAACTGGTTACACGAGTTTCTTCTACCAGAAAAATGTGTAGTTCGAAAGGTAGGTTAAGTTTTGAAATTCTAAATTATTGTCTTAATGTGTTATAACCGTATATTTTAGATGCTCACAATTGGATTGAAAGTCAAAATTTGTTAATTTTGAAATATTCTTCGCGTCAAATTTTGAACAGTGATCATTGCTCATTTCAACAAGAATATGTTTCTCCAAGAACTCTTTCTTTTAGTCTTACGGTTTATGAGTTTTCCAGAGATCAAGGTCCAAAAAGGACCCTGAACGGCGTCCCAAGATTTTTTAATATACTTCAAGCTGGAGAGTTCGGGTTTGTTTTATTTTAAACTAGACACTTAACTACATCGACTGACCGGCGTCGATTTTTTAATTAAGCCTTTATTGATTTTCCAGGCAACCAACAACCTCCACG